AGCAATGCAACTATGTATTCGTGTATTTTTAAAGCGAGTTATTTATAAAAATTACCAAAATTAAAGAAAATTTTTAGAAATAGTTGGCAGCACATTAAAGCGTTTCCGGCGGAAGTATTGCGTTCCGTCACTTTAGGTATTAACAATTGGATTACCAACATGTGTTTCAATTGAATAAATAATTGGTACAAATTGTCGCATGACATCACCGGTCTACGTTACGGATTAAAATGTCTCACAAAAAAACGGCAATATCTTTGCGCGTTATCAAACTTTGGCGGGGCCGTTCATTAAACTCGCTCGACCAAATGTTTTCGTTGAATTAGATCAATTGGCTCAAATTAACAGAAATTAAGATAATTAACGTTATTATACCACGATTAGATCATGAGAACTAAAAATGTTGCCTTTGTATTAATTACAAGCGAAATGTTAAAAAAACTAAATGCGCGATGCCATTTAGAATAATAATATCGTTCCGTTTTTGTTCGCTGCAGATGAAAGCGCTTTTAATTAATTTCACATGTGCAGAACCGATCCGGCGTGCGGAAAACATTCGTTATTCTCGCTGAAAATGTACTGTACAGTTGGGAGTTCCATTTGCGTTGCTCATTACAGTTTTACTCAGACAAATAAGTACCTCACTTATTTGTCTTTAATAATTTATTATTATGACCGTAGCTAGACACGCTACTTCATTTTTTTATGTAGGCAGTTTTCCATCTGCTTAAATATTTTACAGTCACTCAAATATACGTAATTCCAGGTTGTACGTTGGTGAAATTGAATTTTTATATTATTGAGTAAATATAAAATGTATTTTACAACCATTCATTCCATTTTTCTCCACTATATCCATCTCCAGGCATCGTACTTTTTAGTGCTTCATATTAGGTGACTTATCAGCGCTCAAAGTCGTTTCCAAAATACACTGTGTCCGAGAAAAGGAGGGTCACTATGGGCATTAATGAAAGGGTAACAGATACTTGGTTAAATGGGAGAAAGATTGCAAGGTGTAAGAAAATAGCCTTTAGAAATCCCTAATAATTGTTTTGGTTTTTAAAATATTTTGAAAAAATCGGTGTTTTCGATTTTACGAACTATTTTTTGTTCCGTTAATATTTTAATTCGACGTTTCGTTTTTGCGGAACCATCATCAACTTCTTTTTTTTAAATGCACCCCTGATATTTCGATATCAATGATGTTATGGTTTAATTGCAGTTTAGCGTTTTTTCGGGCTTAATTACGAAAATTTCTATTACGGACCTGTGAAAAAATTTGTTTAAAAATAGACAATTAGCGGTTTATATCATCTGCGTATTTAATAGTAATACAATCAGTGAATTGATAAAACAATTTAATAGAAAAAACAAAATTAAAATCAACAAATACAAATTGTGCACAAAGCGCATTTTTTTTAAACACCCCTACGAAATTTCTTCCATAAATAAGAAAGTTGGCACTGCACATCCTACACAAAACCAAATTTGGAAAATGGCGCTACATTTTCTTTTATTCCAAGTGGCTATGTATCAAATTTCATTTGAATGCCTCCATAAATAAGAAAGTTGGCACTGCGCATGCGCAAAACCAAATTTTGATCCTGGCGTTAAATTTGGTTTTATTCCAAATTGCTATGTATCAGATTTCATTTAAATCCCTCCATAAATAAGAAAGTTGGCACTGCGCATGCGCAAAACCAAATTAGGAAAATGGCGCTACATTTGCTTTTATTCCAAGTGACTATGTATGAAATTTCATTTAAATCCCTCCATAAATAAGACAGTTGGAATTGCGCATGCGCAAACCGAAATTTTGAAACTGGCGTTAAATTTGGTTTTATTCCAAGTTGCTATGTATCAAATTTCATTTAAATCCCACCATATATAAGAAAGTTGGCACTGCGCATGCGCAAAACCAAGTTTTGAAACTGGCGTTTGATTTGCATTTATTCCAAGTGGCTATGTATCAAATTTCATTTAAATCTCTCCGAAATTTTGAAACTGGCGTTAAATCGCCCTTTGTAGGTACTTTCCTTTGACAATTCACTGTTACGATATAAGGAATTATAACTGATCACGACAAGGGATCGAGAAGGAAGACTATGGTTAGTATAAATTAATTCCTTTCGTTGAGACCTTTCATTAGAGTACCATGAAGGATAAAACTAGTTCCACCCACCTTTGATAAGAGGACAGAAAGAAGGGCAGTAGTTTGTAGAAAACTGTTTCTTTCGTTGAGACCTTTAATTAGAATACAATGAGAGATTTTTAACCCCTTTTTTTTCAATTTTAGAATGTGCCCAACTTCGAATTTTGTGTCGAATATATAACTAAGCTAAAATATAAAAAAAAAGTCCGAACATTTCCAGTTTTTTGGGCCTCCTGATAGGTCGCAGTAGTACTCATCGCATCGAACAACATACCACATTTACCATTTACCAACATTTTTTTCAAGTTCCAACCTCCATACTGACTGGACTAAATCTCTCCTCGTACACATCCTGCATCTGCTAGAAGAAAAATTCAAATATTGACTTACATTTTTTTTCAATTTGAGAAACTCGGTGACCTCGATTAACTACCGAAGTTTCCAAAAAAAAATGTATTACACAAATTTTGATCAACACATGAAATAAATCTTGGACACCTATAGAATAAAAATTCGAAGGATTCGAATAAAAACACAATTAATTGATTGACAATAACAACAAATTCGGGAACACATGAAACAATTAGAACAAAATCCCTGAAAGAAAGAAAAGCTTACAAAGTTTTTGGGGACATAATACCCCGCACGCAGGCGGTCGATAATTTAAAAAAATGACACAGTAGGTATATGACCCATTTCCGCCGGTTTTTGGCCCAGTTGTAGGCTTAAAGCATACAATTTGAAATATATTCCTTGAGCAATAGTGAGAACAGTATCATTTTACTCATCGTCAAGATGCAGGGTGCAAGAATTAAAAGAAAACAATTTAATTTGAAGACAAACCGTTGTTGATACTATGTTCGAGCGGTTTGGCAGCTTCAATAAGATTTTCTACTCGGATCAAGCCTATTTCTATTTAAGTGGGCCATGTCAACAAACAAAATTGATTCGGGATTAGACAAAACCTTAAATTAAAACACCAAATACCTTTGCATTCTTCAGTCACTGTTTGGGCGGCATTGTCAGCAAAGACCCGTAGTCATTCAGTCACACGTTTATTTGTTTTAAGAAGTTATTTTGGTTGCATAAAATTAGGCGTCCTTCAGAAGAGTTTTTGTCATTTAAAAGTAGACATAAGGAGATACAATGCATGTAAATCCCTATGTCTACTTCTTAATAAATAGCGCACTGTATAGATGTTTCGAGTACTGTTATCGGTGTCAATTATGGCGATTCTCTCCACTACGAATTTTGGAATAACTTATACAGTGTGATTGATTTTGCGTGTCCAAGCGTATATTTATTTTATTATTGGAGATAGGAAAAAAAATTGTAAGAAGCAAAAATACTCTGCAGTAGAATCTTGATAATCCGACACGTATGGGACCACGCAACCGCCGGATGATCAAATAATCCGGATTATCGAGAGTAATAGAAAAAAATGGTTACAATTTATACAAACAAAATACAAAATATACACAAATACGTAATTTTACACACTAGAAAAAGTAATGATTATTTTGTTTGTTTCTTTGCTATATATATTTTATCAAAAATGGTATTTCTAGTTGCTCCAGAGACCCCGGTTTACCGAACGTGCCGGACTAACGAACGGCCGGATTATCAAGATTGCACTGTACTTTCAATGACTGATAATGCTACATTATTTGAAAAAACAAGTGATATTAAAACAAAAGAGCATCGGAAAACAAATACATTTTTTTAAATAGAACGGTTACTTTCTGTACTATTCTTAAAGAGCTTGAAATTTTCTTTAGAATGATATCACATATGTTATAATTAGAAATTAAAGCTACAGTAATATGTTTAGAACCAATCGCAGTAGCTGTGGAAATTTAAATAAAAACATAAAATTTACAACAGGAAGCCAAGAAAATAAACTATTATAACTTAAGACAATTTTAAATACATTGCATCAAATAGAAACTCGTAACATTTTTTTCATCATTTGTGTAATTATTATTTTGTTGCATTGTGGATCTTATAAGTTCACTAACACTAACATGATAAGTGAAAAACTCAAGTTTGCTTTTGTTTAAATTTTCACAGTTACTGCAATCGGTCTTAAATACATTACTGTAGCTTTAATTGCTAGAGTAATTATAACCTATTTAGTATCATTGTAAAGAGAATTTCAAGCTCGTTGAATATTGCAGAAAAAAGTAACCGTTCTACTAAAAAAATTATTTTGTTTTCTGATGCTCTTTTGTTGTTATATCATCTGTTTTTTTTGAATATGTAGTTTTATCAGAATTTGAAAGTAGAGTATTTTTGTTTTTGCACTTTTTTTCTATCTCCAATAATAAAAGAACTATACGCTTGGACACGCAAAATCAATCTCACTGTATAATTTCCTTGTTAACCCAACATAAATTTCATTGTTTCTTAAATGAAACAAAATCTCAGATGCTGAAAGCGTTTCTGAATAGGAATTAATTATGCACTCTCAAAAAGGTGTTATTTGCATATTTGGAACATTGCATATTTAATGTCGGGGAAGGTATTAATACCATCATATTGTTAAGTACTTTTTGTTTTACTTAAAGTAGATAATCGTTTTAAGCGCTGTACCGTTGGCCAATTTACATGCAAATGGGATTATTGTAATTTTCACCATCGCTCTGCTTTTGTTATTGATATTTTCTGGGACAGATTGATTTCTCTATTTCTGCAAGCAATTTGTCGTACATAAAATTACGCAATTATTGTATTTAAATTCAGTTACTCTCCAATTAACATATGCGCTAGATCATGTCATGCGAATAGCAAATATGTTACATAAATTGGTGTAGTAATGGTCTTATAGTGTTTTGCACGCTCACTGATTAAATACTTATTTGGTTACAGCACATGGTGCAGACAGGTATGAGCACGCCGTTCGGAGCGGCGGCTCCCGCCGGTTTTCCTACCCAGAACGGGGAAGTCAAAACGGAGGTTAAAGAAGTTCCTTTATTACCACCTCCCACAGCGGCAACGACGGGTCCACCCTTCAGTCCGCCACCGCCACAACCATCCGGAAGTGAGCAACCACCACCAGTAGCAATAGTTAGTAGTCCTGCAAGAGGTGCGGCCGCCTCGTCCTTTCCATGCGAACAATCTCAGCCGCTTACAAAAGTAGAGGTAGTCGAAGGAGCGATCGTACCACCGGCTACAGTAGGAACGCCCGAAGCTACACCCGTAGGCACAACCACAGTCACAGATCCCGCGAAAAATCAACCAAAGCGACTGCATGTATCCAACATTCCCTTCAGGTTTAGAGACCCAGATTTAAGAGCAATGTTTGGAGTAAGTATCCCCGTCGATTGCGCGCACATGAGTAAAACTCGCCCATTTTTCAGCAATTCGGTCCTATACTTGACGTAGAAATTATTTTTAACGAACGAGGATCTAAGGTATGCATAAATTTATATTTCCAATTATTACAAATTTACTTATAAATGAACACTTCCAATTTTTGAGCTTTGTTGCTATTGGGAAAAAAAATCAATGAACCTCTTTTAAAATTCACATTTTTTATTCATTAGGGACACTATAACGATTTTCTATTGTTTGCTATTAAACTTAATATTAATGGACGTAATCCTGAGGTTATTTCACCTTCATTTTCTGAACACCTGTCATAGTGCGAGAACATTTTTACCTGTAAACACTTTATTAATCGTTAGTCGGGAACGAAATGTGAATCAAAACAGTTTTTCAGTGGTTCATTGTCAAGACTATGGTTCAAATATTGAATTCTCTGCCAACTCGAGTAACATTTTCGAAAATTAGTGCTTTTGTATATTTTTATGCCTTGAACTATGAAATCGTGAAGTGGAACAGCACAATTAATCATGTTCTGGATGCAATTAATTTTTGATTGGTTGTAACTTTGCTCTTCAAGTAATGACTTCAATTCATACCATCTACCGACAGGAAGAGCTGTAATAATTAAATATTGTAATACAGTTGGCATTGGTAATGTAATTGCAACATGCACGGAAATGGAATGATATTGATGTGGATGAACAACTAGGGGTAAGGTATTTTTTTCACAAAAATCGAGAAGAAATTTATGAAAGCCCATGCAACAGAAAGAAAAAAAGACAGATGTACATATATCCACTAAGAATGGAGAAAATTTCACAGTTGCAGACTTAGCAGGAGAATGAAATCGTTGAAACGAGGGCGCCACTAACATCTACTTTTTTTCAAAAATAACAATAAGGACGCTCGCTTCTACAAGATTCTTAGAGGGTATTCCGCACTTAATTATGCCATGGTAGTGGAATCCTGACTTGTTCTCAACATAGGCCCAAATAAATCAAAATTTATTCAAACATTCTATCTTCCATCAAATCCTGTATCATTGGAATGCCGTGAATGATTTAATAAACCCCTAAAGCGGATCTAAAAAATCGGCAGAGCTTCTCGGTTTGACCCTACGGGGGTCATTGGATTTGACCCATTTTCAATAGGCTTGTTAGATGTGGCATATAGGTCAACTATGCAAAGTTTGAATCGGTGCAAGCATTTGCCAGCTATCGTGTTCACGGACAGACGGACCCCATCGACCCCCCTATAAAGCTTGCATTGCTTTGCTCTGCCGCTTAAAAACTGTAAAACAAAATCCAGGGAGACGGACTTGTGGATTAAAAAAATTCGAAAAAAAAGGTAATGGTAAGTCATGGACTAGAAATGGAAAAGAAAAATAGGAAACAATAAATACTGTAATTAAAGAAACTACTAAAGTAAGGTTTGTTGGTTTCTTTTTTTGAATTCATGACGCAAAAAGTCTACACTTTGTTAATTGAGTCACAGTGACAATTGTTTTGGGTTTCCATGTTTCCCATTCTGATTAATGAAGGTGGAACAATCTTTAAAATTTGTTTACTGTGGTGGGTGGTACAATTTAATTAATTCGAAAATCTTGGAAGATTTTACATTATACTTCCCCAAATTCATTAATAATTAGCAATTTAAATTGCTAATTATTAATATTATTAGTATAGCGTTTGTTATGAATGTTTTATGTTATGAGAGTGCCAACACTCTGAAAATAGACCTATGGAAACATCTGAAAAATCTACGAAATTTGTGAGGTAGTACTATGGTTTGCCTATGGCCTTGGTCTGTTGATATATTACATCAGATCGCAAAAAAAAAAGGTTTTAAACAAATGCATGTGCTGACAAAACACTTTCATTCATTTTTGTATGGTTTCCAAGTCGGGTGTGCTAGAATTTATTTCCTATATCTTCTGTCTGTATAATGGAGTAGTCTAATCGAAAAATCTATAAGTAAGTGATGAATTTATTAATTAAAAATCAATTGATTCAGATTTAAAAGAAGAGTGTGTTGTGCACTAACCTAATCTACAGTGGCTCAGTGTAACCTAATCATATTGACTAATCACAGGAAGCAATTTGAAGTAGTATAGCCCAAACCCATACCCGTTTGGTTGGTACGTCTCTAATGTAAGTGTTATTGACCGCCAGGTAGGGATCTGCTTGTGGTGCTATGTCTAATGTATTCTGCTTCTTATTCTTAGAAACTGAGTACTTAACTAAATGAGATACAAGACTTGGATTCTAATTTAGCTGACTCGATCCGGTCTATTGACCGCATTACGATTACTCTGGAGTGACGTAAATAAATGAATTTGTCATGACTATTTGTAGACTCCTCAGGTTGTGCTGTGCAAATTGCATTCGCTTACAAAGAATTGATGTGCAGACACGTGTTCTCTCCTGGCTCATTGTATTGTAGGTATACAGGATGATTTCTGTAGGCCGTTCGTTAGAAGTTTTTAAACTAGCAGTTGAAATAGAAACCTAAAAATTTGGTTGACAGCCATAATCTCGACCATTGCGAATTGAAATAAAATAATTTCAAGATGGAGTCGCTTTCGTAAATACCGGAAGTGTCTTTGTTTTTAATAGAAATTTTCTATATTTTTTTTCTAAATATTCTATTTTGTTCTGAATTCAACACAATTAAGATTTAAGTATCCATCTGTTATAGTTTTTCACATGTGTCAATTTTACTCTAAAAATTTAAAGATCAAGGGTCCATTCAAAAATTCGTATCTTTTAAACCGTTCAACACGAATGCGTGCTCTTTTTTATAACCAAATCCTAAAGTCTAATGGATTTTTTTAGTGGCCTTTTGAGTTCCCTGAAAAGGCTACCAGGGCTGCTGCCATTTTTCAAAGGTTTCAATAAAAAATGTCAAAAACTTCAGCTTTTCAAATCGCAATTTCTAATGCCAGAAATAATGTAGATTTAAATTTGAGGGACACTTATTTTTTATTAGGTGTAGTAGACTTTGAAAGCTTTTATTTGGTATGTATTTCGAATCAAATGTCAAACAGTTTTATCTTAGTGTTCAAATTAATTCATCCAATTTTCAATATGCATCATTGCCTAGCGTCAGAAATAGTAGTTGCAATTTGAAAAATTGAAGATTTTGACATTTTTTGATTGCTAACTTTAAAAAATCGCAGCAGCCCTGGAAAATTTTTCAGAACTTTCGGCGGTTACCAAAAAAATTCCTTAGACTGTAAAGATTCGATTATGGAAAAGATCACTCCCTTATCTTGGGCGGTTTAGGGCGGGATATGTCAAAAACTATGACATAGGTACTTAAATTTGAATTGCGTTTGAATTCAAAATAAAATAGAGCATTTAGAAGAAATTGAAAATGGTTTGTTTCTATTTTAAAAAACCAAAACCGGTATTTACGGAAGCGGCGCCATCTTGAAATTATTTTATTTCAATTCGCAATGGTCGATAATGGCTGTCAACCAAATTTTTAAGTTTCTATTTCAACTGCTAGTTTAAAAACTTCTAACGTGAATCTCCCTGTATACTGTGTGGATGAAGCAGAAACAGTGGAATACATCTTGTTCTTATTTGAGGCACTATGGGATGGGAGATGCCAGTATACTATGTTATAACTTATAAATTAAAATCGAAAAGCTTTATCGCGTATTTTATGCCTCTTATTCCACTTTGAAACTAATTCCCAAAAAGGGAAGTTTTCAATTTCTGAAGTAGCAAGGCCACGCAACTCATGGAGGGTTTTTTTCCCAATAGATCCCATAGACTCAAATCAAGGTCTCGATGATAAGAGGGGTTCTGCAGAATCCACAATGTAACATCGTTTGCATCCAAACTATTTGCCGAATTTCTCAGCTTCTATGAGTCCTAGTGATGACCAAACTATGACCTTTCTTGTTATTGAAAATTCAAAACATTTTCCCAAAAAAATTTTGGTTGGAGAATAATCTGATGGGGTTTGCTTTAGTACAGGATGACTTAACGACCAAGTGGTATATCCTCTGCACTCGCGCGATTAACTGGAGCGTTTTGTCTGTCCATCTGCCGTTCCTTGAACCGAAAGACGTCTCGGAAATATGATGAAAAATCAGGGGAGTAGGTTGCTTTAGAAACCTAAAATGTTCCGAAACGTGTTTGATTGCTCTGTAAAGTATTGAATGGTCGGAAAATTTCCTGTAGTTTTCTGATAAGAGTTTAAAAGGTCTTCATTTTCGAGTTTTCTAATGCTTTCCACCAGGAGCTCTTTAAATATCTGTAGAGTTTTTGAGATACCAGTAGAGGGTGATTAGAGTCACTCTGAAACGGTAGTGCGAGAAAAATGATTACAAGGTTAAATTAGTAATAATTAATTGTGAGCGTTCCAACTTAAATTTGATTACATCATTTCTTTACCTACAATTAATTATTAATGAATTTATAATCTCAAATAGATGGATTTTATAATGTATAATCATTATCATCACTTACTTGTACTTAAACTTATTATATTTATCACACAAGGCGCCAACGCAAGTATTATCACTACCACTGTTATTAAACACAGTTAAATTTGCTTATATCTCCAACAAAAACTTTCTAGAAAAATCACGGATCATTCTCGAATAAAGACATTATATTTTTTATTGACTTGATGGCACCCCGATGTCGCTCTAGATTTTCTAGAATATTCGTTACAATAAAAAGTATCGTTTTTAGGGGAATTTTTTTCGAAAAATTATGAAAATGCCATGGTTTTGTTCATCCGTCAGTTTCTCGTGTACCCAATAACGAAAAGAGACAGCGATGTCAGACCTTCGCCAAATTGATTTCTACGAGTTCAAGAATGAGACGGGTTAAAAGTCCTATTTCCGACTGCGAGCCGAGTGTCAAAAAATTCTTCTGAACTTTCAGTGGAAAATTTCAAAATATGAACTCTTTATTCTTATAAAAGAAAAGTAGACACACATTCCAAAACAAGTTAAAAAAGTTATCGTAACCAATTTGCAAAAAACCTATTAGTAAAACCGCAATAGACGTTTTGCCAAATTTCCGTGTATTTTTTATGGGAAATTGTAACGTTCATTTTGGTAGTTTATGGATAACTCCGGTCATGTGCGCATGCGCGCCTCGCTCTCTCGGCAAGACCATCTTCATCCTCTACATCAGCAGCAACCTTTTAACCAAAATTATGAACACTAAGGAATGCCATTTTGGGGCATTCAAATGTAGACCAAGGGTCAAAATGAAATAAATATTGGGCGCGATCTTCTGTTAAAATTTCAGAAAAATTGGTCTACAAATAAAAAAGTCGAATTTGCGCATGCGCAATCTATTTTTGATACAGGGTGGTGACTTGCATAACGCATCATAGGGATTTCAATGTAAGATTCATAACATGCGATTATTGGCTCCCCAAATTATTTTAGAGCAAAAATGTATTAGTTTTTTGTAGAAAAATTTTTTTACGGCAATCAACTGTATTAGTTTTCACTTCTTTTCATATAAAGAAGGAAAATTGGAAAAATAAAACCCCCATCTTTTTCAATAATCTGCGAGAACAGACTGTCGGAAGAGCGTACTCACAAAGAGCGATTGAGACGTCTGCAAGATACATTTCCATTGGTGATGTCAAAAGAAACACTATTTCGGTTTAAAAAAATGCGCTTTATCTGCACAAGAGTTGTGCACAATTTATACTTGTTTGGTAATAAACGCAGAAAAAATTCTTTCCTTGGTGCAATCCTTATGACACCATAAGAAACCAAATAGCGAAAAAAGTGGAACAATAGTTCTTAAGATAAAGTAGTAGCGACGATGGTAGTTGGACAAACTGACCACAATAGCGCATTTGTTTTTAATTTTGCGCAGGCAACATTTCTATTGGCAGACGCATTTTTTTTTAATTTTAACAGAAGTTGAGCGCATATACCAAAAAAATGGATTGTGTATGCGCCTACCCAACCATCCTACTTGGGAGCATAATATTTACTTTCTATCCATCAAGGCAATGTGTTCCCAGGAGGACATTAGAAGAATGATTTGTCAAAACCAAGAGCACAATTATTACTGTAAATCTCACAATAGTTTTATTATTTCAATCATTATAAGTAGGAATAAGAAGCAGGATAAACCCGGAATGTTGTAGCACAGGCAGGTAAGCACTTTGACCACACTGTTTCCAAACTGTTGCCTGACATTTTCTTCTAACAGAAACAAAATTTCTTTTTACCAACTTACACTTTTCAAAAATGCACTAACAGTTATCACGCAATTACTGGGGTTGCAGTAGGTACAAAAAATTGATGTTTCTGAGTAGGGCACATGGTTCTAAGTCGAGGTATGCACTGAATTGTACCATCCACCCTCTTATCGCATAATTATGAACAAGTGAAATAGAAAATCGTTTTTGTTTTTGTTTTTAAGTACACAATTATTCCGTGCGAAAGCAACAATAATATTATGTGTATAATAATATCTTTGCTGCGGTCTTGTGACATGGCATCAATTTTAGTGTATTTGGTTTGGTCTGTGGATCTCTAAAGTGGGGCTTTTAATGTGTATATTTTTAATCTCTCTATTTACTCCCAAAATAAGCTTTTTTTGATATTACTGTGAGACTAATGTTTATTTTTCAAAATTAGAGTAACACGCTGGTTTTCTTATTAGATAGTTTCAATAGCAACAGTGTGCTCGTAAAATACAGTGTAATTATTATATGAGATGCATGACGTTCATAATATATATATATATATATCGCGATTGAGAGTTGTTTTTTACTAAGATGCAAGTTTTTTTCTGATCGGCAATTGGATTCATATAATGATTGTGCTGTAGCTACTTCATCTTGAGATGGATCATTTTCTCTTGACTTCATATCCATTTACTACTTGAGCCTCAGTGGAGGATTGTTATCTTGAAATGGCATTAATGAGTATGTTAGATCCTTTCGGCTTGTTGGTATTTTATCCTGTATTGTATTGTTTTGTGTTGGTAATTTATTAACGGCGTTTTGTGTGGGACGATGTACGGCTTGGCACACTAGCTGAGCATAGTGCATCTACCTTTTTCGGTGCCTCAGTGTGATTGGCGCGTAAATGGATATGGAGTGGTAGTGTACATAGCTAGGCGCACTGTGAGTTAGGCTTAACAGTGTAGTAGTCTAACAGAGCGAGTGTGGAATGAGGCTTTCTAGACGCATGTCGTCTAACGTCATCATGTCATTGCACGAGTTTGAGAAGCTGTTTATAATGCATGTTTTGTCTGTCTCTGCATGCAGGGGTTCGGTTTTGTAACATTCGCAAATAGTGCTGATGCGGAGCGCGCACGAGACCGACTTCACGGCACCGTGGTTGAGGGAAGAAAAATAGAGGTGTGCATGATAAATAGCTACGTGTAGCACTGGCCTGTCCCGTCCCTCCCCGGTAAAATAAGGTCAAAACCCTCGTGTGGCTTGCTGGCTTTAGTGACTAACCGGTAGCACCTTCCCGCTTCACACGTGTTTTGACGTTCTTTTGCCGCACACACTGTACTTAAGTCACTCAGTTATCGGTACTCCAATATGTTGTACATTGTCCTAGACGGCCATTTAATGGCGATGACAGTTGTAGTTCCGATCCCCCTCCCTCCCACACACGGGCCGCCGAGGAGGTAAGTGGGTAAGGCCAGCGATGCAGAGTTGGAGCCTCTTTACTATCACGCAAACAATTAGGCCCCAACATTGCATCTGCCGCTCTCATTTTAATATTAATCGAGAACTGTAATTTTAGTTCATTAAGCATTAGGTTAAGAATTAATTATGGAAAAACTTGTAGAGTATAGTTTCTTGCTTCGTTGTGTTTAACTATCTTGACCATTAAAAATATCGTTTGCGGTTTTCTAGTTATATCGCACTAAGCTACACTATTTAAACACCATCATTATACAAATACGGCATCATTGCAGCAAAGTATCAATTGTAAACACAAGCTTGCGGAATGTGCACTAAATATCTTAATGTTGAAATGCTTCATTTAATGATCACTTATTGGTATCTACTTAATATTCTTACGATACTACTACTAGGTTTTTAATATCATTGCAGCTATATGGCACTTCAGTAGTTTAGTATGTTTCTTTCTTGTTTTACCATTCTGACAAAAGCACTGCTTGCTTAAAGTGAGAAGCAGAGGACTATTTTCATGTGAGTATATTCAATTTGTTAATTTATTTGCGTAAACTCAACATATGCGGTATCCGTTGGTAAATTAAAGGCAAAATGACAGTGCTTGCAGAATGATTGAGATTTCCAAACCAAAATTATGTTGGATCCTGGTTCCACTTGGATCGCTATCGACAAAAATAGTGCCTAAGTCAAGGAAATTTATTGATTAATGTAAAATCAGTGTTTTTTATGGAAAAAGCAATTTTCTCTACTCTACAAGACTCTTTCATTTGACAAATTCAAATCAAATTTTATAAGTTGAGGAGGATGTTGCAAAATTTTGTACAAGACGAAGAGAAAAATCAAGAGTTTTCAGACTTATATAGTTTTCCGATAATAATGGATCATGTTAGTTCACCATGGCATTTGGAATATGTACAAACGATGAACTTACTAAACCGTCTTTCTTTGTATGGATTTTTTGTAATAAATTGGATGGGGAACTTTCACTATCATTTAGTGTAATAAAAAATTAAACTTAAAAGTCGATATGCAGTGGTCTACTAACATGTTCTCTAGTTTTGATTGTTAGTTGTTTACCCATAATTATAATAATTTTTTGTAAGGCAAATTGGCAACGTTTTAGAACATTTTTATCACTGACCAATTCAATTGTCCCATATCAAAATTGACTCTTCGTAAAAAATATGCATTCACAATTTGTGTAAAATTTAATTGTCTTTCGGGTCATTGTAGACAGTTTTCTCATGAATTCTACGCCAATGACACAAAATTGTTGGTATTTTTAAAATTTAATTTAATGTTGTTTAGTGTCACTCCGCACACAGAATTATTTTGATAAATTAGACAAAAGTTAATCAACAAAATTGAAAATAATTTTGTCAAAAAACCATGTGGTCAGTAATCCTTCACTGGTAAGCTAGGAACGTATTCCTACAGAGGTAAAATTATTGTTCTTCTAGTATAAAAACAGCCACGTCAATCATCGCAGGTAGCCGCCCACTGCAAAACTGATCGTCTGTGAGGTGTACACAAATTATTCTGTTATATATTCATCTCTTATCTAGTCCATGCGAAAAAAAGACATAAGGTTTGCTGTGGCTGTTGCTACCTGTCACTGTTTTTGTACTAGACGACGTATAATGAAGTAATTTTTTGATTGAGGTATTAATCACCCTCATTTCATACGCATTCGTCTAGGATTGGGACCACCAAGATTGATTTGGTCAATGATCCAAAATGTTAATATTGTCGTAGATCATTCAGTTCGCCAGTTTGACAATTTTCTTGTAAATAGACTAAATTTTTTTGCGTGTGCCACCATTCAACTGGTAATTAAAAAATTAGTCCGCATTGAAGAATCGCATCAATTTCACGTTCACTTCCTCGTTTATTGCCAGTTATGAATGTATCACAAGCAAAAGTGAAAAGGAGTTACGACTTTCATTGTTGGCGTTTGTTACTCAACTCATTATTAAATAGAGATGTCTTTAGTTGGCCAAAATGCAAAAAGTAACGCCTAATATACCATTCGTCAAGCATTACTGCCCAGTGGTTAGTGGTTTTTTATGTCACAGTAGAAACAAAAAATGTTTCCGGGCAAAATGCGTGATGAATTAATTCATTTTGTTCAATTTATGATTATATACTAATACCTAAGTTTTCCGGCAGGTAAACAATGCAACGGCTAGAGTACAAACAAAGAAACAACCCGCGCTACCGGCAGGTAGGTGTCTTATATAGATTGTTGTCGTGTATAATTTATTTGTAATAAAGCATAACGTGAAATGTGTACTGGGTTAACAATGTAATTTTAGACATTATGTCTGTGTAAACACACAGTTTTAATAAATAGTTACAACAAATTACTCTTTGATCACTATAGAATTTTGAACAAAGACAGATGCATTTCTGGAATATCTAGGGGTTTTCTGATGATAGATAACCGTTTGTAATTAAAGATATTTCATTTCTGAAACGACGTTCACAAAGCAGTTTTTGATGTAGAATAAACATAAGTATATTCTTAGATATAAAAGGAAAGAGCCAAACAGCTTTTTGGCAGAATCGCGCATGCGCGGTGTCAAAGTATAACAAAAAACTGTCAAATTGTGACTTACAAATGATGGCTAAACTATTGCATTGAATTGAACCAAATTTGGTACATTGTATCGACACTTTACTAAAGTTTGTTTTACAATCTAGAATCCCAGATCGGGTGGGATTGCATGGGTAACTTTCTTCTTATTAAAGATAGAGAATTGGTTAAATGGACAATGTTTTGCAGTTTTAGAGGCTTATTTAAAATTTCCTTGTGGAAATTCAAGATTTCGAATAGGTTCGACGTAAATTCAAAAAAACTAAAATTGGTCATTTCCTTTAATGTCTTATATCATCGAAAGTATAAAAAAAAGTTTTATATAAAAGTTACTGTCTAATACGCCTAATGTAGAATTGATGTAAAAAAATTCAAAATGGCTACCTTAGAGGAACATTTACCAATTTCCTAAAGTTAAATAGGCGCCATATTGGATTTTTAGATTATTTGATAGATTTTTTAATTCTCTTTTCAACGAGCTATCATAGCATAAGATTGACAATAAGATACCAGGTATATCAACGATTTTTATATTTTAATCAAGTAGGCTGTGATGAATTAAAATAGCAGGGGCGCACTCATGGGACAGGGGTTTGGGCGTTACAACTCCCTCCAAAATTTTATATAAGTAGGCGTAGATAAATTTTGACTTTTATGACTATCATATTATCCATACTTACATACCTACAAAATGGTGGTATAACTACAAACTATCCCCTCGAAAAAATGCCAGTTAAACACATTTCAAGACACTTTAATTTACTTTACACAATGTATTACCATTGATGCATTGTCCCAGGTCACATTTTGTAGGTGGTTTTTCCGTAAGAATATCGAAACTAACTGCAGTTTTACGAGTCCGAGTATATGGACAGATGAGTCTTATTTTTCTAACTGCGGAGTGTTCAAATCGACATAATGAACAGTACAGAAAAACCTACATGTTGTAGTTTGACAATGAAATCAAGTAAGGTTTTAAATTAATGTATTTTATGACATAATGGGAAGTCATGTAATTGGACCGGTAATCTTCGATGGAACTTTAACTGCTCGCCATTATATACAAATTCTCCAATAAACTTCCTTAAAGGATTTTCTAGACAGCGTATGTTTCGCAGAAAGGGTTGGTTTATGGTAGGTACCTATCAACAATTAAGCTGGCTGCCCAGGTCACAATTCACGAATTGTGTACACTGTACATTAAAGAATAAAGTATATGGAAACATCTGATGTAATTATTTTCATTGTTTTGTTGCCTCGAATAGATTTTGTTTTGTTTTTTTTTTATATTCATCATAGCCTACTTGATTAAAATATAAAAACCGTTGATATAACTGGTATTTTATTTTCAATCTTATGCTATGATAGTTCGTTGAAAAGAGAAATAAAAAATCTATCAAGTAATCTAAAAATCCAATATGGCGCCTATTTAACTTAAGGAAGTTGGTAAAATGTTCCACAAAGGTAGCCATCTTGAATTTTTTTTGACATCAATTCTAAATTAGGCGTATCAAAGACAGTAACTTTTATATAAAACTTTTTTTTATATCTCTTGTACTTTCGATGATATAAAGCATTAAAGAAAATTAGATGGACGTCTTTTGTAGCATAATTTCAGCACTGACAATCGCTATGATTTCACGAGAAAATATTTCGCTCAATAATCAACAATCAAACATACAGGGTGTCAATTTTAAAACTTGCAGGCGGCCATATTTTCCAAACTAAAGAAGATATTGAAAATCCCGCAAAACAAAAATTTAATAATTAACAAAAAAAACATTAAATGTTGACATTGAGGGATTTATGGCAAATTGGCCAAGAACTTGAACCTGAGTTGCTTCATTAAGCAAGCTTGGTTGCTTTCTTTTTTTATTGACTTACAGTACAGCTGAACGTGTGGAAATAATATTGATTTATGGCTCTGAAAATCGACCATCTTTTAGAACAGCTAGAACGTTTAATGAGAGACATCCCGGGAGAAATGTAAGCCATGCCTATGTTCAAGATTTGGTCGCTAAATTCAAAGAAATGGAATCTGTTATTAATAAAAAAATAAAGCAACTAAGATTGCTTAATGAAGCAGCTCGGGTTGAAATTCTTGGCCAATTTGCCATAAATCCCTTAATGTCAACATTTAATGTTTTTTTTGTTAAATTGTCTTTATGAATATTGACTTTATTGGTACCACTGGAAAGCATTTTTCAGTAGCTTTCCAACGATGTGTCACAAGTATGGGGTTGCAATTTAGGATTTTTGAAGAGGTGGGCTGGAGGTTAAGGGGGGTGGGGGGTTGTCATTCCTATCGTCATTCTGGTTCCCCCTCGATACCCCCGAACGGTTTGGCGCGATTTTCAATATCTTCTTTAGTTTGGAAAATATGGTCGACTGCAAGTTTTAAAATTGACACCCCGTATAAAGAAAATTATAAAAGTAAATAAGAGAATTAATGAATAAAATAGTTAATCAAATGTTTTTATTTTTACCAACCGTCAAATTAAAAAGTGATAGATAAAGATAGGTTATTCGCGAATTCAGGTGTATTCGATTTACCATTACAATAGCATACAGAACATGGTGTGGAAAAGGTCACGTGATCGCTGGAGCAAATTAAAATTACAATAAACGAACGGCAGGAAGCCACTAAACTAAAAAAAAAATGTCTGTGCATGAAGCGTCAACATAACCTCTAAATTTTGTACAGCTTAACCTCAAACCTGTGCAGCAGTAATGGATATCAACAAAAAAAAATTCTTTAAGCTGATGCAAATTTGTTATTTTGCAACAGTGATTCAAGTATTAAAATTATGGGAATGTGCAGAAATATTTATTCAAAGGCTTTAAATGCACATTTCAACAGCATAAATCTATTGTCTTCTCCCAGTACATTCTTCACTATGCTAAAATAAAAGTTACAAATGGTACCGCTATACACCTCTTTGTTTACCAATTTTAGTACCCGTATGTGTGCAATGGCCGGAAGCAGCTTTAAGAGGAGTCGCAGCTATACAAAGAGGGAGAGCAAGAGCGGCATATCCGGCGGCAGCTGCGGCTGCGGCCGCGGCGGCTTTTGCGAGGCATCCGACGCCCTTAGCCGGTGCCCTTCACGGTTACACTCCCGTACTAAATACGCTTCCTGTCGATGGCAGTGTTTACTACGACCCGTTTTTAACTGCTCACGCCGCCGCCGATCCTAACTACAGGTTACAGGTATGTTAAAATGAGATCAAAAATTTGTATATATGTAAAATTTAAGCAAATTTAACTTCTTCCAAAATTTAATATTGTCGACCTACATTGTGAGGTGACATTATATCATTTAATAGCTTTGCTTTTTATGTTGTATAAATACAAATGAGGTTTTAGATGAACATTTAATTTAGTTACGTACAGGAAATGACGACACAAATTTGTGCAGCAAAGCGGCAGTGAAAAAGGAATGTACGCTTTTTAGCAGATATTGGGACTAAAATTCAAACAAAGAATCAATAAATACATTAAATTGCATGTTGCACTTATATACTGCAAACATTTCATCTGATCAGTCTATGGGTTTTGCAAGTATAGGTGCGATCAGTTAAGGGTTATAACTTAAGTGTAAGTAATTCGGAATAATCCGAAATGGCGAAAGAAAGTTATGGGTGGATTCCATTTTAATACTAAATGTTCTTGGCTTATTAATCGGAAATGACGTTTCATTTGTGAATTCTAAAAATAGAAGTCTGTCGCTTACATCATCAGCTTTATTTCATAACAGTAAAAACTAATTTTGGAATTACTTATTCGAAATTGCGATTGGGATTGCACTGCCAACATTAATCTTTGTATCGAATGAGATATTTACAATACAAAGCTTGATGTCGTGGAGCACAGCCTCAAAACTACTGTGTATGCATTTTAGTTGGCTTTAGATGTGCATGCCTTGCATGGCACTCTGTTCTAGGCTGCTGCCGCTGCTGCTGCACCACTACTAAAAACCCCTCTATCAACTGCCCAACAGGCCAGCTACGCCGCAGCTGCCACGTATACAGCAGTTGCAGCTCGTTACGGGGCAGCTCAACCTGTCGCAGGTTACGCTGTGGCTGGATATGGTCGTGATTATGCCGATCCATATTTAGGACACGGAATCGGTCCTATGGCAGGATACGGGGTATGTATATCTAACGAGTTTTCGTAGAGTTGGTAATAATTTTTTTGTATTTTAATGCTATTGGCGTAGGGTAGATGTAGTTCGATTGATAAAAGGGGAAAAGGTCTGCCGTTACGCTCTTTAGGTGCTTTATTATAGAATGTGATTAATACACCTCTTGAAACTCTTGACTCACAGGATAGCAACTTCTCACTTTGTGAAACTGTTAGACTTTCTACTGGGAGTTTTTGGAAATCTTGCAAATTGTAATATCAGAATTTCTCATACGTATTTCAATACTCTATTAACCATAGAATGGCGTCATGCTCTACATTGTCAAAATCTTAAAGGAAATTTGTATAATTTTGTAAGATTTTAAAAAACTCAACCTACTGGACTCCACTGTTAAGCACAAGATTTCTTTGCCATTACAAAGCTTTAAGATTTTTGAAATGTCATTTATTTTCAATTTTTTAATTTCTTACGGTCCCCTGAGTATTACAAGATTTCAATTTTTGATCATTAGTTTTATTATAATAATTATTATTATTCAAACAAATTGTAAAAATGTGGAGTTTCAATGTCCTAGCAATTCGAGGAATTTCAGATCATTAAACCTGAACCATAAATTCGCTTCAATTTAAAGATTAAAAAAAGAAAGGTTGATAAGTTGGGCCACAAACCATTGGATATGACATGTATGGTGCAGATTGTTAAAAAATCATTAGCAATTTACTCATAGGTATTTTGCATAAACAGCTCATAGCTTCTTAGTGAGGTTAGTTTTTATAATAATACAGCATGATGGGAGGAGAAGATTAATTTATTGATTGCATTTTGTGCTTTGCATGAATTAAAAATTCTTAAAACGTTTTTTACTGTAGATGCTTACAAGTTGAGCAGAGGTTTTTAAGTAATGAAATCTCATATGGAATCTTCTTTAACCCATTTGGTATAGACATTATACTCACTTGGTAATTTGAAATTATGTGAGGTTAGCAGTTGAGTAAGCATTTTTGTAATTCTGAGCTGAAGTATTTTATGTCTTTTTACTCTAAAGTGTTCAATTTTTGAGTTTGAGCAAGTCTCAAAGTCTAAAATATGAATCTTGAAACTCAGTTTGATCTTCATTTCTTGAAGTTCTCGATCAGAGAACTACCTTGGACATTTGATTCTTCAAAATATGAACTCGGATATACTTTGCACCGTAGATAGAACACCGCACTTGCGCAATACCATCCGAATGAAAACAGCTGATAACCATAGGCGGCATATTTTCATATTCATGAAATTAATATATGAGTACCTTTTTATCAAAATTATTGATTTTAATTATTACTCGCATTTTCTACTGTAATAACGACAATGCGATCTACAACACCGTAAAACCACGGAAATGTGGGAAATAATTGGTCAGTGCACATGATGGGTATTGTACTGTTTGCTATCTCTCTCACATATGCTACCACAGATTTAATTGCTGTAGGCTATATCTATGGAATATATATGATCTAAGGTTGCTATGTATAAAAAAAATAGATTTTTAGCTTGTTTTTATTTTCTTGATTTCTGCGAGACAAAGAAGATCAACATACAAAAGTAACAGTGTGGACCGACACAGCAGGAAGGAAGGAAGTTGGAAAGCAGATCTGGCATTTTTAAACATGAGAACTGCCCAAAACTCAATGAATCAAACTGCAAGACGAATTGGGAGAAATGAAGACTGATGTGAAGATGGATAATAATCAAAATGCTAAGGAATTCTAAAAACCAAGAATACACAGTTGAACGTTAAAATTTCTTGACCATTTTTATAAAGTATCTGCTCGTAATATACAAGGGAAAAGAAAACATTGTGTAAATGCTGAAAGGAGTTAATGCTGAAAAGTAGAAGTAGTGAAAAGAGTTAAACAATTGAAGCTTCAAAACCAAACCATGTGTCGTTGTGATTTTGAAAGTGCAACAAAAGTAGTAAGAAGCCAACAATGATATTGATGGGGGTGGAAACTGTGCAAGAGGAAAGGAGACATATTAATAACTAGAGACCGGACTTATATGCATGAAAACACGTCAAAAAATGCACAAAAAATATGGCAAAAAAGCATGAAGATATGCATAAATAATTAAATAATACACAAAAAATTATTGAAACTTTTAATTCAAACTATTTAAACATAAGCTGTATTAAAACAATTAATGATTAAGTATTGTTCCAAGTGGCCCATCTTAAAATTTATGCGCCTATTTAATTAGTACGTGGTTATACACAGAGAAACATCTTTCCGCATCGGCACGCGAGAAATTGGAGCGTACTCTAGTTGAGGTATCAGATGAGATTCTACATATGTTCAACATTTTCCCCAGCCAGTTTTCGTCATCTCATTTGTTGAACTTGAAAATTTGCTTGCACTATAAATTAATGCTGAATTGACACCGCTGACGTTTTATATATAATAATGTAACAAACTTGAGCGCCATATTTTTTTTGTATTTCATTTATTTTTTTATTTTTTTTCCTTTTTGTTTTTTCTTTTTAGTTTTTTTCTATTTTTATTGATTTCTTTTGTTCTGTTTCTATCTTATAATTTTTATTTTATTTGCTTTATTATTTGTTTATCTTTATAATTTATAAATAAAAATATAATTGTTGTGATTAGTACCACTGGAAACTTGTTTTGTGATAAAAACGGTTCAAAAAATTAATAAAATGCTAATCTATCTTAAATATGCACAAAAACCCAAAAAATGCAAAATATGTAGGTACTATTTTCTTTGCGCCAATGTGATTAATGTTTGTTAGTTCGTGTAAATTATTACTTTATTTTGAGCTGCATACAATATTTATGTAATGCATAAAAGCATGAAATCCGGTCTCTATTAACAAACAAACACAGTTTACTTCACACAGACATCTAGATAAAATAATGAAAATAAAGAAAAAAGAAACTTTTGCTACAAATAAAGAAAAGACAGAATCTTTCACAGAATAAGCGAACGTTATAATAGAAATATGAATGTGGCACGCTAAAGACTGAACAGCAAAAGTTCTTCAAAGAACTGAAAACAACAAGTAAAAAGGTTTTCACCATAAGGCGATAACTAGCGCATTTTCCGTACTTCTCAAAAGGCCATATCTATGTACGCTATCTTCATAACTAAAGAAGTGAGCACTGCACAATATGCATGCGCTGATCTAGTCTAATTCACATCGAAATGTATTTGCGCTTAAATAAGATATCCTGCGGATGTGCACATTAATCTGATGTTTACAATACGCAACACTTTTGTTTTTACTAAAAGCGTCTTTTGTTAAAATTTACAAGAAACATCTCCATAAATAAGAAAGTTGGCATTGCATAGTATGCGCATGCGCACATCTGATTTTTCCTATGGAAGTATCTGTGGACAGAGTTTTGACAATATACATTAATAAATAGAAAATTGATATTGCGCAGCCTGCACATGTGCTGAAAGGATGTGTAGTGGCACGAAAATAGAAAGGTTCTTGGTGTATCTGGTGTAAATTTAACATCGCATTTTGAAAAAGGAGGAAGACTTCAGATTTTGAACCAGTCACTTGCTTCTGGGAAAGCAGCTCCTGATTGTGGATTAAATGCTTGACGACAATCAAGAGGATAGTATAGTATACTATAGTTAGATCGATAGAGCAGCCTGGGCGGAACCGTGTCCTCTTAAAAATAATAATTTGGTAGTGATGTCTTCTTCTCAATTTGAATTAAATGGGTGTTTAAAACTAAAGACAAATATACTGGGTGCCACGAGCAACCTCTGAATTTCATCCTGACCTACTTTAAGGAGTGGCCACCATTGCAATGGGCTATTTTTCAAAACCATTTAAGGCCGTTTGCACCGACAAATTTAAGCGACGCTTACCTTAAGCGTAGCTTAAAATCCATGGCAAGCATTGTCTCAATAATCGTTGCCATGGATTATAAGCTAAGCGCCGCTTAAATTTGTCGGTGCAAACGGCCATTTTGTTTATATTTCACTACATGCAGGAAAGAAGATTCGGGAGTTTTATAGATTTCCCCTGCTTGGCTCTATAGCAGGGGGTGTGTGAGATTCTCTTCTATTTAGGCAAGGTTTACCCACCAAAATGCTTTGCTCCACCCCTGGCATTCTATCGCATCCTATTCTATCCCGACAGTTGATATCTATTGTAATTTTTCATTCAATTAGACGCGTGTACCAGTTATTAAACCAGTTTGTACATTAAATAAATTTACCTGATATCCCATACACCTGACATAATTGTTGGCCACGAAAAGAAAAATCTGACATGAAAACTATCTGGGTCGCACTTTGGATTCGAATAAGCACACAATTAATTAATTGACAATGACAAAATGAATTCAGAAACAAGTGAAAGAATTAAAACAAAATTCCTGAAAGAAAGAAAAGCTTACAAAGCCTCTTTGGACATATTACCCCGCACGCAAGCGGTCAACAATTAAACAAAAATCTTAAATAAATGATTTCTTAATTCTGTTTTACATTCTAGGCGCACTTAACTCACACACAAACGCTGATAGTTTCGGAAACTCACTTTGCTTTATGAGACAGAATTAGGTGACAAACAAAATTGGCTTGATGAATTTTCAGTGGCTGTTCGGACGGTAAAAACTTTTCACTTTTAATAAGAAGAGAATCTTATGAAACTTCTCATACAACTTTGGTTAACTTGCTTCTGTACAAATTTATTACTGCGTCTTTAACTAAACAAATAGGGCTAACTGCGGCGGTTCGCATGTGTTAATGCGGTACGTCTACGAAATAATTTTGGTTCGCAGCGTGCAGTTTTTTCCGCAGTTCGCACAATTCCCGTTTGAATGTGTTTTCGGTTATGTTATTAATTTTTGTTAAACAGAGAATATTATTGAAATGGTGCAACAATATCCTATCCATCTTATGTGACTTGTGTCATTCAGAATATAAAAATATAAGGAAAAAGTCTCAACTGATGCTCTATACAAAAATCTTTCTTTATTAATTTCAGTTGTTCTATTCATCCTACCTGTATGTAAAACAAAACAGATAAAACATGTTCTTGGACTACAAATGAATTAAAGACAAATGTACATGTTCATTTCTTCAGTTCCAATTCCTGGAAGTAGCGAAAGGGTTGCCTGACAAATAATTTTATGAGGCATCAGATGGTCCCGCGTCAAACGTCACCACTTCCGCCGATAAACGCGCTCTTCTTTGTAACACCCGCATCTCCTCTTACCAACGAATACACGTGCATTAATTAAATTTCGCCTAAAAACTTTTCATCGCAATGATCAGATGTACCTTACTTCTAACTTATCTAAATTGAATAATGTACAAAAGCGATAAAATTTAAACAAAAAATTCCGCATTTAACAAAATTTTTAAAAGGAAAAACTAATACGGAAATAAAATTCAAGTAAAACAAACAAACTTTGTATTTATTCCTAAAAAACCCACCAGATATGCACTTCAAAAGGGAATTTTTTTATCTTAATGGATTCATGATTTAGTTTGTTAGAAAATTTGCAAAATTGCGTTTATTGCATGTTTACGTACGAAATAAAAAAATCTTTCAAAAATCATCTCTGAAGATAGCTATTATCATTTAACCCTGCAGTGGTGACGTGAAATTTTGGAACACCAGTGGTGACCTCGGTCTGAGAGACCGAATTTAATTTTGGCTTGATTTCGTAGTTACTACGCATGTAACTTGGCTTAAAATAAAGGAAAAAGTTCAGTCAATAAATAAACAAAGGCATATAAATCGAAATATAAATTTTATTCTTGTAACATAACCAGTAGCGGTCCCAGGATTTGGTAAAGGGAGGGGCCCAAACCCGAACTTTGTCCCAACACGGAAAAAAATAAAAGAAATCTAATGGAAAAAATGAACAATGGGGGGCCCACGCCCCCCCCCCTCCCCTGGGACCGCCACTGATAGTAGCGGTCCCAGGATTTGGTAAAGGAAGGGGCCCAAACCCGAACTTTGTCCAAACACGGAAAAAAATAAAATAAATCTGATTAAAAAAATGAACAATAGGGGGGGCCCGGCCCCCCTGGAACCGCCACTGACCATAACTACATTGTTATACACACAATACAATACACAATACTAAACTTACGGGGGGATGCGCGTTGCAATGCTGCGCTGACTAGAATTTTCGTAGCATCAATGGCGGCGATGCACCGGAAGGCGGCCAATTACTTACGGCACTAAATATACCCAAATTTCCGAATTGTTCTTGATTTCTGTTTGAAAGAATGTGCAGTGGCAGCTTGAATTTTTAGGTACACCAATGGTGACGTCGGTCTGACAGACCGAAAGGGTTAATTGTCAAAGAACGGCTTGCTTCATCAAGTTGTTCGTCTGGTACTAAACTCAGACACGCAAAATATTAAGCTAGCAGAACTAGCAGTGCCATGCGCTGCGCCGTTTTTACAAAAATTTGAAAAATACTTCGTCGGTCTGAGAGACTGTGCGTCACCACTGAAGGGTTAATAAGTAGGTACTTATTTAAAGCTATTATCTATTCATCCAAAGAAATAGTTAATGTCAGCCCGAAAAATTCCGGACACATTTAAATGAAAATTTTTTTGGTCGAATTTTTGAAACCCTGTACTTACACACGCACCCACTTGGTTTCAATGGTAGTTGCCATATCTGAATTAACATCCCTAACCTCAACCCTGTCAATATTAAAAACGGTACTTTGTAACTTAGTCATATCAATATGGCGTGCGATTTTTAATTTTCTGGTTTTTATAATTTTGTGGATGTGAAAATTAAGCGGGGGTGGCTTAAGTTCATGTGTTGGGGTTATTTAATTTCCAATGCCAATATTGTGGAACAAAACATTGTTTTTTTGTGATTAAATTCTTTACACAAAGCTTCCTTCCAATAAATGCAGAATTATCATATGTACATGTAGATATGGCATTTATATATAAAAATTCAATTGCATTATAAGGTGTGAGCAACAAAATGTTGATTCAGAAAAGGCGGTGGAAGGCTTAGGTCATGTCTAATATTAATTTTAAGTAGGTTGGTATTAGATCTATGGAATAAAACTACCCTTGTCAAAGACAACTTCAATTACACATGACCAATACGTCTTATCTCTCTCTTTCAGGGCCAACTCTCTGAATCTAAATCTCTTGCTAGAAGAATGGAATTTTAAAGATTCCTATATTGAGTTGGGCCGTCCAACATAAAATGCAAAATAGAAATGAGTCTCATTTGGAATTATATTATTGCAGTTTGATCTGAAAATTTTTGTTCTGCACTCTGATTCAATCGAACTTTATCAACCTTAGTAAAACCTATGTCTCTTTGCATTTGTAAACGGCTACTATATAAACCGTCATTATCACTACGAACAGCTAGAACGGTATTGACCATTGTTACTAGGGAGTGGTGTTGGAGTTGCCACTTAGATTTAAATTTTACTGTTAAGACTACAATAGTTGCCCGGTTAACCAACAGAGGCACCTACTGTAAACTATATAAACTTGCTAATGTAAATCACATACTAAAGTGTTTTTAATTTCAGGCTGCTGTCTACCGTAGCGGATATAATCGTTTTACACCCTATTGAACATATCGGCAGCTTAGTGGTGGCCTACAATAATACTCATCTGTTTTACGTGTATGTAGCACAAAACAGCACAACAAATCGAAAAAGCGCCAAAGAGCTGTTAACTCACTAACATATACCCTTGTGATAAACATCTAACCAGCTCTCTTAAACGTAAATTAGTGTTAATAATATTGAATAAAATTATCAAAGCGTTTCCATTCACTTATACAGATCTTATCAGAAAGTTTTAGCACGCACGGTTTTTAAGGCGACTTTTAATCCCTTTTTTTTCATTACGATTTTTTTGGCGAACCTAGAACTGATATACATATTGATCTTTACTTATTGTATAATACTTTTTCTATCTTTAGAGTTAAGAGATATTTAAGATTGACTGGTAACTTATTTTTTAAGGGTAGTTCACACGTTTTAGTTATACACACTCGATATGCCAAAAGAATTTTTAACATAAGGTTTATATGTATACATAAGTGCAGGTTTATTAATTGTAGAAGCACGTTATGTACGAAGTTTTAGAATCTAATGAGGGTTTATTTAAGAATCTCATTTTTAAGTATGAGTGCAATGGAAACGTAAATGTGTGTTGAATATATTTTTTTTTGTTCGTTAATTTCTATACTTTGATAAATGTTTTTTTTTCGGACTGTGGTCTGCGAACATATCGATAATACTCGGTGTTTTGCTCTCTAAACGTGATTACATCAATTCCAAACTCTTATTTCTTATTAGAGGGTGCATTTTCATGTTACCGTAATTAGATATTTAAAGATAAGTAATTTTTAATGTAATACGTAAATTGTTGCCAATTTAGATATAAATTTTTTTGGACAACTAACATGACATTATTATCACTAATGCTTCTTAAGCAAATCGGTTGACCAAACAATTTAGTAGTGAACTATAGATTAGCATGCTTAAGAATCATTACATACAAAAGAGTTTGAGGCTGGCCTAATGGATCATAAGGCAATTCGGTTGGATTAAAAGCTTACCATATTTTGTATTATAATTTATGATGTCTTGTAAATTTGCAATCATTTTTTATGTTTCTTAGTATGTAAATACAAAATTTAGAGCATATAAACAGGAGGGTGGCAAAGCTTTTAATTGTAATGCCAAACTTATAATATTCACGGTGATATTATGATTCCAAAAAGTTCCTGTTTTCAAATTGTAGAGATTATTTTTGTAGAAGTGCAGTTACAGGAAAATGTCTGGTTAAATTACTCGTCAGCAGTCTAGCAAGTTATTTATTCGTGCAATTATTAAATGACGTTATAAAACTTTTAAATCTGAATTGTACACAAAACAAACGACACATGTAACGAAAGCACAATTGTTAACTTTTTAAAATGTACCTATGTGGTTAGGTACGGTTAAATAGAATCTATATAAAACGTGTAAATACACCCTCTTATACAAGCTAGCTCTAGTCTGTATATAGTTTATACGTACAAATTTCGTGCCCAGGTTGTGTCGGAACTGGTAACAATTTAAGTACCAACTTTCCATTGTAGTGTAAGATCCCTCTGTTATGTTCGTATTTTTAAGAGAATTGTAATTAAGGCACAAATACATACTCAACGTTTTTTGCACATTTTTTTTTATTTAGTTTTTTAACTCCAGAATCCTGTCTCTTTCACATGGGATTATGAAATTATCCAAGGGAGATTCTGTGATTGTGAAAAAGCTTTGCGTTTTAAATTGTGGCAACCAGTCCTGTGGAATTTTCGTATGTGCACAGCGGGTATTGCAAACCAATTAACTGCTCCAACAGATTTCCTCTAGTCAGATGGAGTGCCTGATCAATAGCGAACTCCTTTATTTTTTTGTTAGGCTGATGACTATGTGCAAATGTGCTCTACACTAGCACTGCACTAGAAAAGAGTTGCCACCAAATCGTTTTTTTTTAATTACAAGAGTGAGCAAAAAAAGCACCCGTAACTGGAAGGGAAACAAGCATATTATTTGTGAAGCCAGACGAGTGGTTGTATTTTTATCTCTCTCAGTCCAAATGCAATAGACTATATTTTAACCTAAAAAATTGCCTTTACGCTGCTATAGACGCATTCCCTAAGGCCCAGTTTCAAACTGAACGGACCTGTGGCGGAGACGTGGCACAGCTTATGTTCTCTCTGCGCTACCCCATGCAAACAAACGATGTATCGCACGCTGACGCGACGTGGCACGGTCGGCCGCCTTCCCGCCACCGCCACGTATTCAAAGTCGCTATTATAGTAGCGTATGTGCCACAGATCCGTTCAGTGTGAACTGGGCCTAAGTCTTTTCCAAGCAAAATGGATGACTATCATGGTATAAATGACTATCAACAGTATCAACGCGTTAAGTTCTTATGTTATGTATGAATATTTATATAACAATAACATGGGTTCACGCCTTGGTAGTGCTCGTTCGTTTCTCTGTTTTAAGATCTTCGCAGACGAAAAGCAATTCTTGTCTTTATCCTATCACGGAAAAGTCCCCCATATTGACTAAACTGGCGGCGTTCGCCCGCTACTTCCCACGCGGTTTGAAAACACGCAAGTGTGCATCGAGCCTTAGACACGACACGTTAACAGTTGTGAAGAGGAAAGTAAACATTAGTCAGTGGCGTAGGGTTCATTTATTTTTGTGGGCAACAAATTAATTGATGATAATTGATACGGACATTGTATATGTATTACGGGCGATACGGTATGCTGATACTTCGAAGTGGGAAGTAATTTATTACTTTTGTAACCTCGAAATCTGTAAAAGCTCTTTTTTTCTTTTCTTTATTTAGAAATCAGTCTTTTGAATCAGATAGCCATGGTTGGATTATATCGCACCAAGACAATCAGATACATTCACAATACAACTCATCTACAAAGTTTTTCATTCATAACAGGTTGCAGCTTCAGTAACAAAAGTGTCACAATAGTAAACTTTGTTGACACTGCGCATGCGCAAAATACAATTTTTAAACTGGCGCTAGATTTTCCTTTATTCCAAGCACCTATGTATCACATTTCATTTAAATGCTTCCATAAATAAAAAAGTTGGCACTGCGCATCCGCAAAACCAAATTTTGAAACTGGTGTTTGATTTTCCTTTCGAGATGCGAAAAGGGCACTGTGAATTTTGAATCGATTTGACTCAACTTTTGGCTTTGCGTATTATATGGCTAAAGCTATGCCCATATTGAATTTCATGCAATTCAATTAATAACTATAATACGGAGATGTAAAAGCGATCGGATATTTCTAAACAAAGTTATCGATCACACGGACAGACAGACGAAGGAACAGATCAACAGACAGACGACAGACAGCAATACAAAATTATAAACGATCTCTAGGATCGTTAATAAACGGCAAAAGTGTAAAATTATAGCACATGTAAAAAACGGTTTGTTGGTTATTTTACAATAACTTTTTTAGCAATAAACGCAGAAAAAATTCCTTCCTTGGTGCAAGCCTTGACACCATAACGAACCAAATAGCGAAAAAAGTAGAACAATAGCTCTTAAGATAAAGAACTAGTAGCGTCTCATAAAACGAGCGGACGGACAGCTGGACGGACGGACAAAGTGGCCACAATAGCGCACTTTTTTTAATTTTTGTGGAAATGCGCTAAAAAGTAAAAACCGCGAATGTGGTTATTTAAAAACTAATATCTATGTTTGAATTTACCGGGTGACCCAATAAGACTGTTTCTCGGACATATCTCGAGAACCGTTCGTCATATGACTTAGCGGTAAAAAAAATTATTGGGTAAATCGGTCATGACTGTTATGTTTCTGACTTCCGGGTTCGACGGTTCATAAATAAATAACACTTCAGATCCAAACTAACATTTATTCTGCGAGAAAACTAAACTTGTATACAGACAAATTGTAAGTATAAACGACATTGTTGGACTTCCCGATCTTGCCAACCTATACACTCAAAATCCCTGAAATAGGTACATAACAATGACGAATCGCTGGAAAATATTTTCAAGTTCTAAAAATGACCAACAGAGGGCGTAACTGCCATCTTAAATTTTAAAATTGCATTTTTTATAAATTTCGCTTAAGCCCGCTTGACATGGAGCAATAAAAATTGCAATTGCATGCAAGTTGCAAGAAAAATTGCGAAAGGCATGCGCAGTTCAAAGCCAGCTGATCAATTGCTGCAAGAGACTTGCATGCAATTTTTATAGGACCGGTGCTATTTTTCTTGCATGAATTGTGCAATTCTAGGGATAAATCTAGTTGTTTTTGTGGCACCAACCTAGTAAAATACAGCGGCGGCAACTGTGATGCTGAGAGACGCAATCATTACTTGTTTTTACTAATCTTATTTATTCTTGTAATTTTCATGTTTCTTCAAGCAATCAAAATTTAATTTTCATTTGAGGTTAACAACTTTGTTGACAAATCCATATGATTCTTCTGTTGGCAGACATGTGGCAATTGAAATAGAATTGCACCATGTCAAATACCATGCAATGCTTATTGCATGCAAGGATTTGACCTTGCAATTTCTTTCTGCAAGTTCTTGCGCGTAGTATTGCTCCATGTCAAGCGGCCTTAAACAAAAAAAATGCAATTTTAAAATTTAAGATGGCAGTTACGCTCTCTGGTGGTCATTTTTAGAACTTGAAAATATTTTCCAGCGATTCTACATAACCGATTTACCCAATAACTTTTTTACCCCTAAGTTATACGACGAACGGTTCCAGAGATATGGCCGAGGAACAGTTTTATTGGGTCACCCGGTACAGTAAGGTTAAACTACAAAATGATTACTATATTTACCATTAACTTAATAATGTATTCCCTACAATAAGCAAGCTCCTTTACACTCGCCAAGACTTACCTAATTGCGTGACACTATTACTAGTTTTTAAATAAAATAGTTTTAGTTAAAATAGATCTCACTCTTTCCTCATTGTCCAATTTGCCCAACTCGTGGTGCAGTCGAAGATTGTAATACTTAAATAATATCAATTTTGATAGCATAAAAAAATGGTTGTTTAAAGGTTCATCGTAAACATGGTCGGCAAATGTGTCTTCGATGTCCCTTGGAAATTGGAATAGTGCGCATGGCTGCATTTATTAATGGTTGGAGCATATCGATATTCTTGTAATTTGAAAACCGCAATCCAATACAGTTCTGATATTCTTTGAAACACCTTTCACCGTAAGTTTTTCTTTTTTGCAATTTGGATATCACATGTTCAGATTCCAAAACATTTAAGCATCGTGTACATTTAATTTCTGATTTGAACTTCTTCACAACAAACCCCGCGACAACATCTTCTACATACACACAATTGCTTGGTATGCAATAATTGGGATCAATATTTATGAAAAAGATGTATTGTTCAGTTCTCTAATTCAATGTCATTCAGGAGAGAAGAAGATATGCGGTCTCGTACTTGCACAATTTAAAATTGAAACGCAATCTGCAGCTATAGCATTGCCCTTATCACTTCCGGATATTTTACTATGAATGAAGAGACTTTTCGTAAAATTTTCAAATTGCCTTGCAGTGGGATTATATGATCTCCTCGGTTGCGGACTGAACTAAAAAAATTTCCAAATGGTCTTGCGACAATTTATAGGTTAATAAATATTTTAGTTCCTTTGATTCCACAACTCTGTGTTCATACCTATAGTTGTTTAAGACTCTTGATGCAAATAAGAAATCCCAAAAAACCACTTTTCTTCTTGAATCTAGAATGTTTGTCCCATTCAATTTCAAACTTCTAATATATGAACTGCATTCTTCTAAATATGCAAAGAATGTTCTTGGGTAGCAGGCGATAGGGGCTTTTCGTAAGGTTTCTTGTATAGCCTATTACGGGAATTAAAGATGTGAAATAGGTTGTTCATTTTTCTGCAAAAAAGGGAGGTTGCCTCTGAAGTTTGAAATTCAGACAGTTCCACATCCAAATTTAAGAAATCTAATGCATCAGCTACACTTTTACTTAAAGTTTGTATGTACTGCCAAAGAGTAATTATGGTTACTCTTTGGTACTGCTAATGTACCTACTTAATTTTCATTTTTTCCTTCAACCACAATAAGTGTCTTTTTTTTAACTCTGTTCCAGCGTGTAATCCATGCATTATATTGAAAGTTACATAATCTGTCCAAATAATCCCAGCTAATGACATTTTCATTGCATTGCAAATATTTTTCACTGCCCAAGCAGTTTCTTATTAATTTAATTATATGGCACTGATCTATAAAAATTTAAACCTTTTGTTCAGTGTTAGGGTCAACAAAATAAATTCGTAGATTATCATGTTTTAAACTAGCTCCCAATTTTTCGGCCATTGACAAATTGGCAGCAGCCCCATCAAAAGTCACAGAAGTTACAATAACACCACATCAGTTTTATGAACAAATTCCAAACATTTAGGTAAGTAACAGATTAGGAGCTGATCGAAAATCTTCTCAGTCGAACGCGAACTCTCTCCCGAAAAAGAAAATAGAATTCAAACTCCCTGACCTTACATGCAGGGAGGTTGACGGGGTGAATCTGGGGGCTGGGCTGGTTCCCTGCTCGAACGCCAGAATTTATATGCGACGAACCGTGGCGGGGGGGAGGGGGGGGGGGATATACCTAGCAAGGCATAGAATAAGCGTAGCGTATCTTTATTCTGTAACCTAGGAATAAGCTGCTCCCACCTGGTGATGAATATAAGGGACTATTATTTAATTGTAGGTACATTTTATTTTGGTACAAACAATTACAATTATTTGGTATTTTATGTAGGTAGGACCATACTGTAAGAATGGTAGGACATAATCGAGTTCTACCGGGGTGAATTCACCTCCCCCCGGAGAGGACGGCTCCTTATGCCTTATGGAAACGGGGCGCGGGTACGCTAATTTCAGGCGTCCTTGAGAGAGAGACGGGCTGCTGCGAGAGATAAAACAAATACGGTTGAAACAGTTAACGGAAGGAAGCACTAACAATGAGCCCTAATCACGGTGGTATCCGTGGTCCTAATTAAATATAATAAGCGTACTTGATAAAATGGTACTTATTCCCAAAAAATTTGGATCATTCAAATTTGTGCATATAGGGATTAGGGACCTATACCATTCTTAAATAATTTAAACAATGCATATAACTTCTACCACGGAACACTATCGCCTTATAACGGCGAGGGCGGGGACGATTCCTATTTCTTTCCTATTATTATACCATTGAATTTAAATTCAATGATTATACCTACCTCTGTTTCCCAGCAAACACAGTCACGTAACGTTACGTAAAATACACGTACATTTTTAGTAAATTACGTCATGTTACCTGAATGGTACGTAATAATTTTAGTACGGGAATCGTGTTGAAGACACGTCATTTATGGGTACGTAAAAGTTACGTATTTTAAACGTTACAACTTACGTCGTTAGGTATTAGGCATTTTGAATAAACAAAGGAGAAAAGTATATTAAATTTATTGTATTTTGCGCGCGAATGTTTTGTAGGTACGAACCAATTATGGTCTGTGAAACTTGCGTTTGCGCATACTGCTACGAAACGGCGGAGTGCGAACCGCCATTGGCGCCATTTTAACGTTCAGCTTCAGAGTCAGTGAAAAACCGTGAATTTTGACTGTGTCCATACGTAATCCAAGAGCAAATTTCATCTGGTATGTATTAATAATCCTTGGCTACGTGGTTTTAAAAGGAAATTGAGGGATAAGATGATTTATTAATTAATTGAATTAAGCATTGTCTTTTATTAAAAGTAACGTAAAATTGTAATCAGATGTCCTAACCTATAATTTGTACTTTCATATGACATAAAATTCTTTGTTTGTGCATTCTGTAGACATGGCTTACGCTGGTGTAGAGTTTGCAGACGACAATGCAGTAGCGCTTATTTGTAGTAGTTGGTTGACCCCAAGGAAAAAACATTTATATTGGCCGCCTTACCAATCTCAAGACCTCTACGATAAAGCATTAAGAAAAAATGAACATCATGTTGAAAGTTGGGTGCAGTACAGTATTAACCGATGTTTTTTCTTTTGTGGTAAGTTATTGAATATATATTTTTGTTATGATGCATGTATGTGTGAAACGATAAGCTGTTCGGTAGTCGCACTGTGTTGTTGGCCCATGATGTATAGACGTGTTGCTTTATTAACCAAGGAGCTCATCAGCTGATGAGATAGAAGCGAGTTTGCACTAATATTGGAGTAAGACAAGACTGTAATTAGACCCACGCTCACAGATTAGTTTAGCAACTCGCCTTATCTTAAAAACAAAATTTTTGTCTAAGTACTTTCTTTGTTTTAAGACGATTTGGAAAAAGGAAAACGAAAAATAAAATTAGCGGAGGTATCGTCAGATATTCAAAGTGAAGCAGAGGAAATTCCGCATAAAAGAATTAGAAAACCTACGAGACGATTGTGTGACAGCGACGAAGACGAGGAAGTAGTGCTTTTTAGTACAAAAAATATACGAGAGAAATTAGATAGTCAGAAATTGCCAAGACCGCCTGCGATTGAAGGTATGCATTAGCCATTCTGTTGAATAAATGTCTCGAAAAATGTGTATTATTACATTTAGGAAATTCAGACTGTTGTAATTCAAAGCAGTTGCCAGCAGTAGTAGTTCCCGCTAGAATCGACCAACCCTACAGCAGCACACCAACCAGTTCGAGATCCTCAAGTACATTAACTGTTATAAGTGGACAAAGTGCCTCCGCCTCATCGACGCCAGGGCAAAATGTATTACATCTGAATTCGCAGGCTGAAAGAATTTGCGAAGCTGTAAATGTGACTGAACGTAAAGATAATGGTTAGTACCATTTACTCTTTATGCAAAGGGTTAGAATGTTTATTATTTTTTTTAGAAATCATAAAGTTGCTACTAGAAATTAAAGAACAAAATAAACTACTTTTGGCACACTTGGATAAAAAAAATAACACATACCCAGCTTCTTTGCCGGACAATTTTCCAGATCTTCCTTGCAATTCGCAAAACGATCTGGACATACTAGACAATTACCTTGAAGATAAAGAGAATTTGAAGTGTTTGGTATGTATTATAATAGGTTAAATCATTAATATGATTTGGGCATTATTACAGATGCAATATTTGTCCCAAGTAGGTGGCAAAGAAGTTGTCCCAAAAGTTAATGCAATTTTGAGGAAATGTTTAAGTAACCAATTGGCCTCCAAATATAGCTTCTTGGGCTCTAGGTTGGAGAAAAAAGCGTTTGCTAATTTGCATTTGAAGGAGGCAGTAGTAGGTAAATGTTTGATCTATAAATTAGGATGTTATTGAACTTATTTTTTTGCAGGAGCAGTTAAATTGGGTACTTCGGTGGATAATGAGCTACGAATTGTAAATGCAATTAAAGAGTGGCTGAAGCACGCGCCCCAAAGGGTAAAATTAGAAGAAGCCAAACAGAAACTGTAAATATTACTTATTTAAGCTTTTAGTGTGTAAGTGTGGGGTATTAAAATGGATAAAATCACCAAAAATTATAAATCTTTTGTGTCTCAACGGCAATTATATAGAAGAATTGCTAGAGATAGAAATCGTATTAACCAGATTTTACATTCATCTGATACTGTGCAGCCAATCAATATTACTAGTTTGCATGAAGATAGATATGAAAATATATTTCAAAGTTCTGAATCAACTTTTGCTGATTTTAATAGTAGCATTTCTAATATTGCCTCTGCTGAGGCTCCTGAAGAAGCAGCATCAGATTTAGTCACTGATAATTCAAATAACACTTCTACATATGAAACTAAGGGTATCTGCACCACATATGGAAATAGTGTTACAGATTTTCCTGTAACAAGTCTTTCTGATAGACTTCGTTATTGGGCCACAAGTAATGGTGTGACACGTACTCATGTTACTAGTTTACTTCATATTTTATCCGATTACCATCCAGAATTACCTCTAGATGCACGAACATTGTTGAGAACTCATAGACAAATGACAAGTCGAAAATTAATTACTGGTGAATATTGCCATTTTGGCATTCTGAATTTTTTTAAAACTTTTTTTCTCAAACATCTTGATTTACTTTCCAGACATGCAAAACTCTCTCTAAGCTTCAATGTTGACGGAATTCCTTTATATCATAGTAGTAACCTTCAATTGTGGCCTATTTTGGCACAAATTAAAAATTTTAAAAGCCATCCTTTTGTGGTTGGAGTTTTTTGTGGGACTTCAAAGCCTTCTCCTTTGAATAATTTTTTGGAAGATTTTATTAACGAATATAATAGTCTTTCTGATGGTTTTACCCTTTATGGTATCAAATGTGAATTAATTATTCACAGTTTTATTTGTGATGCCCCCGCTCGTGCTTATTTGAAGCAAATTAAAAACCATACTGGCTATTCATCATGCGAAAAGTGCACCGTATATGGGGAATATCATAACGGAAGGGTTGTTCTAAATTCGCTAACTTCTCCTGAAAGAACCAATGATTCGTTTGTTCGTCAAATTGATGAAGATCATCACATTGGAATATCTCCGCTATTGAGTTTACCAATTGGGTTAGTTACGGAATTCCCTACTGACTATATGCACAATATTTGCTTGGGTGTCACAAGAAAATTGCTAAACACTTGGATTTGTGGACCTTTAAATGTTAGATTTAGTAGTCACATAACTAAAACTGTTTCAAATAATTTAGAATCATTAAAGTTGTATATACCAAGCGAATTCAATAGAAAACCCAGATCATTATCGGAATTAAACCGATGGAAAGCGACTGAGTTCCGCACATTTCTTTTGTACCTTGGTCCGCTTGTTTTGCGAGGCATTACAGATCGTGCTATATATGAAAATTTTCTATTGCTGCATACTGCAACAACTATAATGGTTTGTGATGCACATATTCAGAAATTTAATCCACAATTTTGTAGTAAACTTCTAAAAACTTTTGTTAAGCATTGTGAAGTTCTTTATGGGTTACAATTTATTGTTTATAATGTACATTTATTGTCACATATTTACAACGACGTTAAACGCTATGGAAATTTAGATACTTTCTCAGCATTCCCCTTCGAAAATTTTTTAGGCAAACTAAAACGACTTGTGAAATCTACAGTAAATCCATTAAAAGAAATACATAACCGAATTTTAGAAATGGACTTACTGTCATCAACTTGTTTCGAACAAGACAATATTAGTTTACAATTTTTCTATGAGCACAATTTAGGACCACTATTGGACAACATAGATAATAATGCAATACAATTTAAAAAGGTTTATATAAAAGATTTCATGTTAACATGTATTTCATATTCTGTAGCTAATTGTTTTTGTTATATTGATAATTCTGTAATTCAAATTCATAATATTCTAAAGTGTAATAATTCATTAACAATAATTGGCAAAGAGTTCCTTTCTATCCAATCCATGTATTTTTACCCAATAGATTCAAAGCATTTAAAAATTTTTCTTGTTAGTGACATAAGTAACAATTTGAAAATGTGGTGTAGAACAAACTCACTTGTAAAATGTCTTTTGTTACCTATCAATTCTAATAATAATGTATGGATGTCCATGCCTATTATTCATTCTGTGGAAAATAATACTATAAGCTAGATATAACGCACAGTTTCCAACTTGTTATCATTATTTTTATTACCCCACACACGTACCTACATATAATATGTTCTAAGTTCATTATTAGTGTTATTTTACTATAGTAAATGATACAACATTATTATTATATTTTTTGTTTTAAATAAAGTTGCACTACAAATGATTTTAATCAAATGTCTACCTTTATGTAAAATACGTGTATCTGTAACGTATAATATACGTGAAAAGTTACGTGCTATTTAAACAAAAATTACGTATTTACAACATCAATCACACGTGCAAAATGACGTCATTTATTACGTCTATGGACGTGTGGTTATAACGTAACTGGTCTGTGACATTGTCACGTGGTCACTACGTGTTTCACACGTATTATTTTACGTCTCTTACGTATTTATGACACATAATAATTACGTAAATAACACGTGATTGTGTTTGCTGGG